AAGGAGTTTAGGATTACCATTTGGGGCCCTGTGGATACTGTACACACATTGTATCAATCAGGGAATCCCTCCACGAGGGAAACTCTAGGGTATTCTTAGGAGATTAGGGTCTCTGGAAAAATCCGTTGCCCTCTCGCCGAAAAGATACTGCGAGTGGGTTTTCAAAACGACACCTGTAGATGGTGAGATTTGTGCTCAGCGAAAACGGAGTGGTAGAGGCGATAGAAGCCGGTGACGCGGGAAAAGTCTTGATCCCAGGGGACCCTCGTGGAACGCCCTACTGGATGAGTGTTGAGAAAGGAGGAGTCATCAGGGAAGGCGCCTACGTGTGGGTTCGAGCTCGCCGGCTTACCCGGAAAGAATGGGTGCGAAGGGGGGGTCCGCCTGACCTCGGTCGGTTCCTAGAGATTCGGGCTACCATTTTCCTCGACGAGGACACGTAGGCCGAAATTTGGAGGGGTTTAGTAACCGGCCGGGAGACCCATACGGAGTACCGTGAGTTCGCGAGGCTGGTAGCGAACAATCTGGTACTGGGCGATTACGAGGAGGGGACCTTCGAGTCGTGGACGCAGGTGTCCTTCGCCGAACTAGGCGAGGTCCCTCGCGCGTTCGAGGTGCTACACGCGGACCTGCCCCAATTTGTGAGACGCTCTTTCTTACGAGACCCGGAAGAGAGAGTGGTGGCGGTACTCCGCCGCTCAGGAATCCGGAGTACGGACGAGAGGGTTGTTCTGGCCCTACATGCGGTGTGTGGACGCTGGGGTTCCCCCTGAGGGAGAACAACCCCGTATATTCGAAAGGTTGAGAGAGTTCGAGGGGATCCGAGCTCACGTCGTTGACGTCCCGTACGCACACCTCTTCGGGGAAGCGCAGGTGGCTAACCGGCGAGGATACGAAGCTCGATGATAAGAGGGGTTCTCGGGACTCTTTGGGCCTCAATAGAGCCTGTGAGAGGGGAAGGGGAGGTTGTCCACGTCTCGTTGCCCAAGGAAAGTCAAAGGGATCCGACGAGGGCCATTCAAAGGGAAGTAGCCGAGATCCGTCGAGGGAAAGCATTCGTTCGGTTGACAAAGAGCACCGCGGAGGGGCTGGTGATCGGAGAGGCCAAGGTGTTCCTTCCTAAGGAGGGTCTCTTGGAGATAGTCCGCAATTTGAAGTTGGGGGAGGATCCGCTCTTGGACGCGCGAGCGGTACGGGACCGCCTAGAGAGTCTTGTAGAGGAAGTAAACCCCCAAGAGAGGTACCGAAGGATATACCAGGTGACTTACGCGGGTTGGGAAGAGGTGCCCCTGTTTTTCGACAGTGACCCCGTCAGAGTCCCTCGTTTTATCCTTGAGCGAGTTTACCCCTCAGAAACGGTCAGAAAGGCGGTGGAACGTAGGATCTCGATCCTGAACCAATTTTGGTTCACAAGGTCGGACCTGCACTCCCTACTAACATGGTGCGTGCAAAGCCCGTACGAGGATAGTTGGTCGTCGTTAGAGGGCCTAGGCTACTCCTTCGGAGGCTGGGGCCAACACGTGAGGGCGTCGACCATCTCTTGGCGGTACTTGGGGAAGATCTGTGAGGCGGGGTTGGAAGGATTGGACCCCTCGGATCTCATACAAATAGCTATGGTGTGCTGACGAAGGAACTTGAGGCATGAGTGAGCCCGACACTGGTGGGTCTAGAGAGGGTTAGGGTGGAGCTACATAGAATCTTGACCCTTTGCTGGGAAGAGGAAAGGAGGGCGAGACCGGGGTCCTTGCGAAAGATCAAGTTGTTAGAGACGGCCGCGATAAAGATACTTGACAATTTAAAAGAGGAACTACTCTCAGGGGGAGGAGAGGCATGAGAGCTACCTTCACCTCAAACTCGATAATTTGGGAGTTGGAGACAAGGGACGACGACCCTGAGGTCGAGGTAGAAGGAGGAGCGGATTTTGGCCCAGGCATTGGCGAGGACCAAGTGGCTCGAGCCGAGAAGAGTTTCCTCGTCGAAGTCTAGCGACTGGCCTTGTGGAAAAGGAGGTCCTGGACCACCTTAGCTAGGTTTTCAATCTTTAATAGGGAGGCGAGAGGAGTACGGTTCTCTAGAACGTGGAGGGAACCTCGGTCGGAGGTCGAGAGAAGGTTTGAGGAGGACTCTAGGTGGCTTGACGATACTCGATCAAGGCGAGGGCTCTCGAGAGAGGTGTGAGGATTCACTAGTTGAGGCGGCGGAGAGATTAGCTCGGGTAAGGTGAGCCGGCCAATGATTAGATACGACAGAGGGAACCCTGTCGGGACCTTGGAAAGGGCTTGGAAGTCGGGATCTAGGTATGGAGTGACCCTTCCCAAGGTTGAGGAAAAAGGGGAGGTTATTACGGAGTTCTTCGAAATCTACGGACAGGAAACGCTAGTTCGTTTCTCGATAGTTTCAAGAGAGGGTACCCACACACGAAGGGCATAGATCTTCTTGTCTCACGACGATAGACAATTTTTTGCCACGGAGTTAGCAGAAGGAAAGGACCCGCTGGGTATCGCGGAGAGAACCCAAGACCGACTTAGAAAGTTGAGAGGGGGAATAGCGGGAAGGCGTGAAATAGAGAAGGTTGAATACCGAGGACGGTTAGAAATTTCGCGAGCAGCCCACAGTCGGAACTGGGAAGTCCCTGCTTGGGTCTACCGTTTGCTCTACCTCGATGACGCAATAGTGAGGAAAGTTCAAATTAGGGGACCGATAATCGAAAAATTCCCCCTAGGAGAAGCGAAAGGGCACGAGTTGTTCACCCTGTGTTGGGAGTCCCTAGAGCTTACGAACTTTGAGTGGTGGGCTTTGGTCGACAATTTCATCAAGGCCTTGTTCTCGGGACAGGCCGGAGAAGTAGATAGAGACCTGATTAGGTGGTGCTCGCAGGAAGGGATTAGGGGTGTCTCGGATCTGGAGATTGCCAACCTTGTGCTACCCGCTTACGAAGAGAAAAAAATGCGTGACCCTTGGTGGACTGTGACTAGTGAGGAATCCGAAGGAGATAGTGAGGAACAAGGATCGAGTGAAGGAGAAAGAGGCTCGGAGGAGAGTAGCAGGGCAGAAGGCCGAGGGAGTGACTCTAGCGGAGAGAGCGACTAAGAACTGGTGCATGGAAAGTGTGGTTGAGCGCGGGGTCGCCCAATCACCTAAGGCCACTGCTATGGGGCGGACCGAGGAGGATACCGAATTGGGGGCAAGATTGAGCAAGTCAGCCAAAGGAGTGACCGAAGGGGTAAAAACTATGGGTAGGGCCTTAAGGAACCTGGAAGAACCCCTCAGAGAAAAAGCTACGGAACCGCGTGCGAGCTCAGATGAGCGTTTGCACCGAGAGATGGAACCGCGTGTGCCTGTGAGAGAAAGGGTGGCGGAAGCCACAAGGGGCTTCCCAGTCGAAACCCGATGGGCGGACCACGTGGACACAGAAGAAAGAATCTGCGAAGGGCAGGAGTGCCCTCGTGACAGGGCTGGATGCTGGGCACCGAGAAGAAGCGAGGAAGGTGGCCTAAGGAGGAGGGAACTTGGGGAAGGACGACCAATCGAAATTGGGGGAGGACCGCGAAGATGGGCCGACAGGGAGACCGGTCCCGCGTGGGTGCAAGAAGAGGCGGTAGGAAGGAATATGGGAGGATCCGGAGATATCTGGAGAGGGGATAGGGGCCAGGAGTCCATACATTGGGAACGCGAAGACCCGGGTTATAGAGGTCGCCGTGAGGAGGAACCATGGGGACCTCGGAGAGCTCGACCTCGGATGGAGGATTTGGACCCTTCTTGCTACAAACCCTACGATCCGACGATAGACGGGCCGGCGGAAGGTCCTTATTTTCGTCGTTATGACAACGACGAGTTCCCTACTACGATGTGAACCTAGGACTAGAGTCACTCTACTTCAACGGAAGGGACGTGACCGGGTTCGTGGAGAAATGAGAGAGTTACGCCTATCGGAAGAAGTTTTCGGAGAAAGAGTGGATCGACCACTTCATACAACATTCGCACCCAGAGCTGGACGAGGCCATTAGGGCCGTGTACTCGTCTGATGGAAGATGGAAGACCTTCAAGCACAGCCTATTGAGGATCTTTGCGTGCGACGACATGATCCCCATGATAGAAGGGTTGGGTCGGGTGACGAGAGGCGAGCAAGAAAGCCTGGTGGCTTTTACTCGGAGGTTCAAACGGTTATCGCAGGCTTTGGTGGATAGAGGGATGCTTTCGGAAGTCGACAGGTGCGTAATGTTCATGTTGCACCTGCCTGAGGAGAAGAGGAGGGAGGTCCTCGAAAAGGCCCCTAGGGACTCCGTCAAATTTGAAAGAGTCGCCGAAGTGGTCTTCCCTGGAGGAGGGGTGGACGCACGGGAGTACATGAAGGAGAGTCTAGACATGGCACTCCGGAGTATGCGCTCCCAAAAGGGCGACGGTCCCCGCGAAAACGAAAGGCAGCCTCCTGGGCCTCCCGGCCATCGTTGGGGAGGAGGACCCTCGGGTTGACGGAACGAACCCGGCAACCAAGGGAACTGGAGGAACGATCGAGAGGCCGGAGGGAATCGGGCCTCGGAATGGGTAAACTCCCGCTGGAAGGATGCAAGGGACGGAAGATGGGGAGACCCTCCTCAACCTAGGGCCGTGGGGGCTCAACCAGAGGTAAGTCAGGCTACAACGCCACCGCCTCCCGCGACAACGGGAGCGCCCCCTCAAGTCACTCCTCGCTCTAACAACCCGCTGCCTTGAAGCGGGTGTGTCTATTGCAATGAGGAGGGTCACATCAAGCGAGAGTTCCCTTACCTTACGGAAGCCCTAAGGTTGGGGGTGGTAAAATTAAACGAGAATAAGTGGGTGGTTTGGGGGGACGATGGGGAGGCAGTCTCCTTCTATCCCTCAATGAAGGTGAATGTGGACAAGAGGATAGCCCTCCAGGGGGCAAGATTGGGAAAGAATTCCAAGGTTGGGAGCACCTCCAGGAGGCGTGACCATAACGGAGCCCCAGGTGTTGAGCATCAAGTTCGTTGAGACCAAGCCCGAAGAGGAAGGGCCTTGCCCGAGGGTAAGGACCCAAGTTGGGGCCGGGCCATCTAAAGGCAAGGAAAGCGCGACGGAGGGTGGAGGGAGAAGGAGCGGCGACGGAGGGTGGAGGGAGAAGGAGCGACGACGACGACCAACCGATGGTCGACGCCAAAGGCACGGAAGAGAGGAAGAGGGAAGAACCTACGCCACCTAAATCACCTAGGAAAAAGGGAGCGAAAAAGTTTGAAATGAAATGCACCTTGGACGAGATAGACACGGTAGCTCCCCTACGCAAGACCCTAATGCAGCCTATGCAATGCACCCTTCTGGAGTACTTAGCAGCCAGCAAGAGCGCTAGAGATGAACTCCTAAGCATCACAAGGAAAGTGAGAATCCCGCTCGCTGGAGGGCCCACGGTTCCTGGGGATGGGCTAGCCAAAGAAGAGGTGCAGTCCTCCCGGATCACTATGGAGGAACTGTCGGCGATTTTTTTCTCGGAAGAAGAGGCCAAAAGGTTATATGTATTAGGGAGCGGCCAGCTCCAAGCAGTGGTGAGTGGAAAGAAGATGAGGGCTCTGGTGGATAACGGGTCCGAATCCACGGTGTGTAGAGACTCCATTGCAAGGGAGTTAGGTTTGGAAGTGGATAGAGGGGTGTCCATGTTGATGGTAGTTGCGGATAACAAGCTGCAGCCGACAGAGGGGGTATGCCATAGCCCCATGATCGAGGTCGTCGGCGTAGAAGCCACGGTCCCAATATTCTCGGTAAAGGAGTGTTCCTCCGAGTTGATCCTCGAGAAAACCTGGCTGAGCGTGGTCCACGCTACCACGGTTGACCTTCCGGACGGTAGTCAAAACTCTCTCAATCGAGAGTCCGGATGGAATCCGAGTGGTCCTGAAGACTGTGGACGCTCAAGATGAGCGAAACCGGACCAACATTCCGAGACGGAAGGAAGCCCAATCAAGGGTATGCCAAGTCCGTCTAGAAGAATCACCCTTTGCTGACAAGGAACCCCCGGGGGACCGAATAGATGTCGAGGATGTCGGGGGCCGGGTTGTGATCAACAGGGTAGGATATGAGAAAGAGGACGAGGAAGAGGAGTTCGGTGGATACATAAGGCGGTCTTTTTTGGAGGAATCCCCCTAGCCGGCGGAGTCAAGAAGCATAAAACCGTGGCGGAGAAAGTGAAACCCGCTGCGGTCAGCCGGGATAGAACGGGGGAAACTTCGATACCGGAGGAGGAAATCGCCGATATTATCCGAAAAAGGAAGGAGAGCGAAGGACAAAGAATTACGGCAGACAAGTTGGCAAAAATGAATATAGGGGATGACGACCTTACAGACGAAGAGAAGGAGTACGTAGCAATGACCCTAAGGGACTGCGATAAGGGCATAGCCTTCGATGACTCAGAGAGGGGGAGAATCGGCCCAAGGTACGCTAAGCCCGCCCGGATCCATACGATCCCTCACGTACCTTGGAAAGATAGGCCCTAGTGGAAGTATGCTCAAAAGGAGAAGGAAGAGATAGTGGCTTCATCAAAGAAAAGATAAGGACGTTCGTCGCAGAGCCTTGTGAAAGTGCCTACTCCAACAAATGGTTCTTTCTGAGAAAAGGAGGTAGCAACAAACTGAGGTGGATCCAGGATCTCCAAAGGACCAACGCGGTTACTATAAAGGACGTGGGGTCCATACCTGAGGCTGATCTACTTGCGGAAGGGTCGGCAGGTCGCTCGATCTATTCGATCTTCGATCTCTTCTCAGGCTATGATGAGATCCCCTTGGACTACCGAGATAGGCACATGACCGCAATGCACACACCTCTAGGGCTGGTCCAAATGATGGTGGTATCGATGGGGTGGACGAACGGCGTAGCAGTATTCCAAAGAGCCATGATCGCGGTCCTCAAAGAATTAATACCGGAAAAGGTGGAGGTCTTCCTTGATGACTTCCCGATAAAAGGGCCGGTCGACCGGGACGAGACGGAGGTCGGCTGTCCTTCAAAAGGACTTCTCGTTAACCGACCCGACTATCGCTAGATGGATGATCCATATTAGACTCTACGATTATCGGGTCAAGAGGATCTCCGGGGCCAATAATCAGGTCGCCGACGGACTGTCCCGACTCCCGATCCGAGAGGAGGATTATCCGAGGTTGGAAGAAGCAAGCAGCGATGTCCAAGGAGGAGGTGATCCAAGTGACTGCTAACAAGGCGCAAGTGGGGGTGACCATCAGGGAGGAAGATAGGAACCCTGGGGCGTTCCTCGCTAACCTTTACGACGGGAAGTACCGCAACATAGGGCTATACCTAGCAGGCAGGGGGGAAGGCACCGAGGTGATTAAGAGGGAAGCGCTCGGGTATTGCCTACGAGGGGGGCACCTCTTTAAGAGGCCTACCAAGTTTGCAATTCCCATGAGGGTGCTTTGCGATCCGGAGGAAAGGAAGGCAGTCATAGAAGAGTTGCACGACGGAGTCGTCGGAGGGCATAGGGGGGTAAAAGGGACTTTTGATAAGGTCCGCAGACTCTATTGGTGGGATGGGCAGTACGGAGAAGGAGAGAAGTATTGTTCGACCTGTGAGGTCTGCCAAAAGAGGGCGACAGTTCGCTACAAGGAACCCCTAGTTCCATCGCTCCCCACCGTGCCGGGCGAGAAGGTCCACATTGACCTAATTACCATGCCAAAAGAGGTCGGAGGGCTTCGGTACATCATTAACCCCCGCGACGACCTCACAGGGTTTGTGGAAGCTAAGGCCATTAAGAAGAAGACGGCCGAGGAGGTGAGTGACTTTCTCTTAGAATACATCGCGAGATACAGGTGTGTTGGAAAGGTAGTCATGGAGAGAGGATCCGAGTTCTCAAGCCAAAAGGTCAAGGTGATATTAGAGAAGGCAGGGATTAAGGCGGCCTATACAACCGCCTATCACCCCCAAAGCAACGCCCCGGTCGAGAGAGGTCACCAAACGCTTGTAGATGCCCTAGCCAAGTGGTGCAAGGGTCGCGCGGAGCAATGGCCGAAATACTTGCGCTATGCAGTTTGGGCCGACAATATCACGGTCAAATCAAGCACAGGGTATCCTCCTTATAAGCTTTGGTTTGGTAGGCACTGCCCTTTGCCCATCGAATTTCACGTCGACACTTGGACGAGTGTCTCATGGAAGACCAACATGACGAGGACTGAACTATTGGAGGCTAGGATACGACAAATATCTGAAAACCTTGACGCAGGACTTGCTGAGGCGGGGGAGAACATCGAGAGGGAGAGAGTGAAGGGGAAAGAAAGGTGGGACAAAAATCTGCGGGTCCGGCAAAAGCCAATAGGGCCTAACGACCTCGTCCTGATGTACGACTCGTCGTTAGAGAAAACTTGGAGCAGGAAGCTAGCCAACAGATGGATGGGACCATACCGAGTCTTAAAGAGATTAGACGGAGGGGCGTACCTCCTTGTAGAATTGGATGGGACTAGGTTACGGGACAGTGTCGCGGGGGCCCGCCTCAAGCTTTTTAGATGCCGAGAGAGCCTTAGAGATGAACCAAAAAGCGAGGGCAAGGAAGCGGTCGACGCACGGGTGACCGTAACCCACGAGGAAGGAGAGACTTCGAAGCAAGGAGCCTCTTCGTGGGCACCTAAGAGGGGCTATAGGGTTCGGAAACTTCCCCTGCCTAAGACCCCTAGAAAGAAGAAACGGCCAAGGGAAGACGACAATGATACCGACCAACTAGGAAAACGCAGGATGAGAGAGCGAAGGAACTCTTCAAGGAAAGCCTTGAGGATCGAGCATGAGAGAGAAGAAAGGAAGAGAAAGAAAGAAAGGCGCGAGAGAAAGATGCGGAGACGGAAACGGATGTAGAGCCACTTGGGAGAAAGAGGGAGTGATGTACCTTAGCTAGAGAAAACATGTCTTGTAATACCAAAGAGGGTGAGATGCTGTAGCTAGAAGAAACATACTGTACCATAATTAAGAGAAATGGGTGTCGCGGTCCCAAAGAAACGGGTGTCGAAGTCACAATGCTGTACCATAGTTAAAAGAAAAATGTAACATAATTCCTCAAACGAGAGGCTAAGAGGGGGGGTGCCATGATGACGCAATGAGGTCTCGGAACCAAAAAGGCAAAGGGATACGAGGGAAAAAAATGCTATCCATGGGTATGTATACGTAGAGGGATGACCACGGGGTATGGGAGAAAGCTTAAGAAAAAGGGGGAAACTCGCCGGGGACGGCGAGAATTGGGGTGTGGGCTGGTTTTCGGGCGGCCGCCTAGCGACCGAAGCTCCTTTTTTTGAAATTTGAAAATTCTTTGAATTTTCTTTTGCTGTTTTGTATGGGTTTGACGTGTGCATGCCCGTGGTTGTGAAATTTTACAAGTGACGTGAGTTTTCTGGTCTGCGTACTAACCCTTCGATGGATAGGAGCGACGGCTCGAACCAAGGCCGCAAGCGGGCCCGGGCGGTTGCTGGAGATCGGAGATTCGGTACCGGGGGAAAGGGATCAGGGACCGGTGCCGGCGAACAAGGGGTGGTCCGGGCTCCGGGATTTTGGCAGGGCGTATACAAACTAAGGAAGGCTGGCATGGGTTTGAGCTGAGCAAGACACCTGGACCAGTGAAGGAAGGGGGGGGGGTCGATACGGTGATGCGTAGCCGATGGCTGGCATGTAGAGGTCATGAGTACCGACGATCTGGGGAGGGGGGGGGAAGGAGCGTGTTTCTCTCCCATGCCGGAGCAAGGACGACTCATGGGAAAGGCCGACCCTGTATTAAGAAGGATTGCTTGGCCGAAGAAAGTCCTCGACGCCAAGCAATGAGGATGAAATTGAAGGACGGGACGACCAGGTGCGCGAGCGGGAAGAGAAAGGGCCAGACATGAAAGATGGCCACGAGGAGAAAGATCAAGAAAGCCTGCGTGACGAAACGGTTGATAGAAAGCTCGCACGCGCGCTTCTGTCGATGATTGTCGAAGTTTAGAGGGCAAGGCGAGGATGGAGGGACCTGGCCGCACGGCGGGACATGTGCATTCGAGAAAAAGGCTGGCGATAGAATGGCTCGTGCAGGTGAATGGGATCAAGAGAAGGCTATGCGTGGTGCGCAGGGATTGGCTGAACTGGGGGAAAGGAGGATCGAGAAGGGGAGGGGAAGCGACCGTGGAAGAAAGGTCTGGCGAAGAATTGATGGTAACAGAGCACGGCCCAAGGYGCGCGCGCAAGAAACTTAGCAGCACCGTACGATTGGCCAGCAGCTGGGGTGGAAACTGGATGGTTTTTAYGAAASGAGATGCGGCWATGCCATGTTTTGAACGCGAGACTCGGGGGGGGGKCGATCTGTCAGCACTAGACTAACGGTGGGAAGGTGAAGAGGACCTCTTTCGGAGACGTGTGAACGGGTTAGCTGGAGGACGACGCTTGAATGCCTTGGTGAACCGGCGAGGCGCGCGCGCCTCGGGCTTCTTGATAACTGTGTGAAAAGCGGTGACGCGAGAAGCAGCCAATGAGTCGGATAGGAGGGCCGCTAAAGCATCGAACGTTGGAAGCACGACTACCTGCGGACGGAAGGTTTGGGGTAAGTACCTCTAAACAGGGGTTGTGGGAGGACGCGGGAAGCATGCGCAATCGAAGTCACAATGCTGGTCGAGATCGATCCCGCGAGTGGAGGAGGAAAGGATCCCTTCGGAGGAGAGACGAGAAGGCGGATGATGGGAGGAAGGGAAAGCAAAAGCGGGAGGAAGGACGAAAGTGGGAGTGGGAAGGAGAATGGTTGAAAATTTTGACCTTTTGGCGCCTTGCGAACCAGAAGTCGAGCCACGAAAAGGGGCGGATGATGCGAAAGAGAGATCGGAGCAAGTGTAAAAGGGGGGAGAGAAAGCGAAAAGGGGGAGCGCACGAGAGTTCGTGCCCGCTTGCGCGTTCGTTGGAGGTCATTAGCGCAGACGAGATCTGAGCAAGGGAGGAAGCGCACGGGACGCGCGAGAGAGGCGCGCACGGGTAGAGGCGTCGGGGACGCACTAGCGCCTGAGCGTGCTCGACCCTACGGGCTGCGGACCATAGAGGGAGGAGAGACGAGAGAGAGAGAGGGAGGCCGAGAGAGACGAATCAAAGAGAGTGAGAGAGGTAGGGAAGGAGGGAGAGACCACCGACGACGTCCCTACGGGGCTCGCGCGGTTGAAGGAGACAGGGAGAGAGAGGAGGGGGGAAGTGCACGAGTCCGGCTCGCAAGTGTGATCTCGCACGAGGCAGGCACGCACGGGGTACCAGGAACGCACGCCGGGACGCTCGGTCGACCTGCGGGCCAAGCGAAAACTAGCTTCAGAGCTCGTCAGCTGGCGAACATTCAGGAGTAGGACGTAGAGGAATCGCACGCGTGAGGACAGGAGAGAACGGGCGCTCGGTGTGGGCAACGGCTTCGTCGGAGCTCGGACTATATATGACGACACTTCTACCCGACAGGGAGGGAGTTGCGGGAAGAAGAGGGCGATAGAGGGAGGAGAGACGAGAAGGTCGCACCCGGAGAGAGACGACGTGACCAGAGAAAGAATGAACCAGTATGAGCGGCGCTCGAGAACGGGAGGGAGATCACGTAGCCCGAGCTCGAGGGCGCCGGTATAGCGATGTGCTAGCTCAGCGCTCGACTACGAGCTAGAAAGTACGTGGAGCGTATGCGCCAGCACGACCGGTGCTTGACAACGGGAGGAAGAGCGTGTAACCAGGGAGCGTGTGGGCCAGCATGGAGTAAGTGCCCAACCGCACTGAGCCCGCCGCTCTGTCGAGAGAGAGCGAGAGAGAGAGGGAGAGAGAAAGAAAAGAGAGAGAGAGAGAAAGACCGGGAGGGAGAGAAAGAGGGAAAGAAGGAGAGAAAAACGAGCTGAGAGAGAGAGAGAGAGAAAGAGAACGGTAAGAGCGAAGGAGAGAGAGCTGGGTCGGCCGAAGTTCGCAAATAATGTGCTCCTTTCGAACTCAAATACTCGGTCCATCTTCCGGTTGGAGTTCGCAAATATTGTGCTCAAGTACCTGGTCCTTTCTTTCGGGTGAAGTTCGCGAGTATTTGTTTAAATAACCTGGTCTGATTTTCGTTCTCTTTTAATCGAAGCGCTGTCCATCCCGGAATCTGTCCTTTCGAAGCGCAGTCTGCCCCGAAATATGTTCTTTTTGAACTCTAAATACTCGGTCCATCTTTCGCTTGGAGTTCGTAAATATTGTGCTCAAGTACCTGGTCCTTTCTCTCGGTCGAAGTTCGCGAGTATTGTTCTGAATAACCTGGTCTGATTTTCGTTCGCTCTTAATCGAAGCGCTGTCCGTCCCGGAATCTGTTCCTTTCGAAGCGCAGTCTGTCCCGAAATATGTTCTTTTCAAACTCAAATACTTGGTCCATCTTTCGGTTGGAGTTTGCAAATATTGGGCTCAAGTACCTGGTCCTTTCTTTTGGTTGAAGTTCGCAGGTATTGTTCTAAATAACCTGGTCTGATTTTCGTTTGAAGCGCAGTCCGTCCCGGAATCTGTTCCTTCAGAAGTTTGCTCTTTTGCGAAGCGCAGTCTGTCCCGAGAAGTGCTCCTTTCGAGGTCAAGTGCCTGGTCCGTCTTTCAGTTGAAGTTCTTTCTGCGTTCTTTTCGGGGTCAAGTGCCCGGAATTTTGTTGGGGCGAAGTTCGCTCCCCTTTGGAGCTTCCCGGTCCGCTCCCAGCACTTGGTCAGTTTGTCTCCGGAGGAATTTAGCAAGGGGTTTTCGCTGCAGTAGTCTCGCCATTTCCAAACTGAGTACTAGAGCTATTCCTCCTTCGCTGCAAAAGTTTCCCCGAGACAGTTTGTTCAGTAAGAGTTAGCTGGAGGCTTTTCGCTGTGTACGTCTTTCCGCTTCGATAGTTCACTGCCGGGCCTGCGTTCCTGCCAACGGTTCGCGGCAAACGCCCCTTATTCTAAACTGCGGGCCAGGTCTGTTTCCCCGTCGAATATAGGTTGCAGACTTTCCCTGTTCCGAACGAAATCCCCGGCCTCGTCTTCAGCTGAGGTTCGCTTCGGGGGTTTCCGATCTCCGAGCCGGATACCAGGCCTAATCCTCAGTAGAGGCTCGTTACAGTCACAAGCGGTTAAATGCTCGGTTGGGGGCCGTTGAGGGGTGGTCGGGTCAAAGACCCCCAAGGGGTCCGATGCAGCTTCGGGTGAGTGACTAGTGAAAGGAGAGGCCAGGGGCAAAGTCCCACGGGGAGATGAGGACTGCGCCGCAGAGGAGCCTGAAGAGAGAAGGGGGGGCACTGGGTCGGCTGGGACTGGTAGCCTGTGGAGGAGGACCCCAGGCCGACAACGTTATACATAGCAGGCCAGAGGCAAGTGGGCAAGTGGTGAGTCCAACTTTGTCTAGTCAGCGGAACCCAGTCCCAGTCTTCCTTTGTACAGTCAGCAAGTACCATGTGGGACTGTGTGCATCGTGGGCCCGGTGGAAAGGAGCAGACCAGCGGCCAACAAAATTATAAATCAAGAGGCAGCGTCCAGCCATATTTTCATTCCTGTGTGAGCCATGCGGAAGCGCTGCCCTAGCGTCTTGTGCGAGGTGATCTGCAGAGGCCTGAAGTCAAAGTGGGCTGAAGGAGAGTTAGTGCAGCCATAGCTGCTTCTAGTTAGTGGTAGTTGGCGGCCATAGCTGCCATAGCTAGTGATAGGTGTGTATGCGTGTATGTTACAAAGTGTGTGCGTGGAGTGTTTAGGGTGATCCAGAGTTGAGTGTGTGCGAACAGTGGTGTTGGACACAGTGATGAGAGTTGGGATGTACAGGCGCTTATGCGCCATAGCCTGTTGAAGCGAGTTTGCATCTGAACTGTGTTCTCGGATTCCATATCTCTGAGCTTTGAGTGGGCGCCCTAGCGCCAGTTTGCTTTGCCATCTGTTTGCATGTATGCGAAGTGGAAAAGAAAGCGAGTCTGATTGCATTGGTATTAGAGCTGGTTTCCATTACTTCACGCGCCATCGCCATTGTTGACAGTTGGGCGCCATAGTTGAAGTTGCGCCATCGAAGGAGGAAGGTCCGCGATAGCTGTGCCATCGAAGAAAGGTGCCTCGTACCTGTAAAGAAGACAGCGACGGAGAGAGAGAGAGAGGAGCGATAGAAGATTGTTGTGCGGTCCAAGGAAGAAGGCGGCCATAGCCGCGGAGCTCGGACACGGAGGTAGAAGAAAGAAGACGAGTGGAGGAAAGAGAGACAAAGGAGGAGAGAGAAGCCATAGCCAAGGAAGAGGAAGGAGGGACAACGAAGGAGAAGGAAAACATAACCGGGGTGAAGAGAGAAAGAAGCGAGAAAGAAGGAAGGAGGGAGAAAGAGAAGCGAGGGTTGGTGAGAAAGAAAGGGTCGGCAACCATAGCCAAGATGAGGGTTGACCGCGGCGTTGACCAAGGGGTTGATCGAAGTTGACTTGGGTGTTGACTCAAGCGTTGACCAAGGTGTTAACTGGGGTTGACCGGAGTGTTGACTGGGGGTTTGACTGGTGTTGACCAAGGCGTTGACCGGAGCTGTTGACCAGGAAATTGACCAAACTGGAGTTGGTATATTCTCGCCAAGCCTTCAGCCTATCCCCTCACCCTATGGATGTGCACTCACCCCATGGTACTTGCTGAGGCTGTCTGTCTCTTCTTTCTGCATTGAGTCTCTTCTGTCCAGGTGATAGGAACTCCGTGCATGAGGTCATAGAGCTGCGTTGACCAAACCCACACGGGCTGAGTAGGGCTACAGGCTGTGTCTGACGACTGACTGACCCGGAGGACAAACCCTCCCAAGGACCGGTACAGACCGGCGGGCTGTTCAGTGTGGCACGGTAGGCTCAAAATCCGAGCTGTGGGCTGCACAACCAGCTGTCTAAGTGTTGAGAGGACTTGCTGATCGCGTCGTCCTGTTTGCGATGTTAAACAATTCCTGAGCAGTTATGGGGGATCTCCTTAAATGCCTCCTGATCAGCGTTGAAGTCCTGTAGTGACAACTTAGAAGTACGTCTAGGCTAGTGACCATAGTTGACAGGGTTCTAAATCGGAGAGAAAGCCAGGGGGGATTGACCGCAGGTGCTGGGCATCTGGGTCTGGATTGTAAAGGATAGTGGTGGCGAAAGCTTCCGTCGGTCGTGGTAACCTGGCTGGATCGAAGGGTGAGACTTTGTGGTCCTTAGAGAGTGAGTAGGTAAGTTAAGTCAGCTAGGGGGTGGAAGTCTAAGTGGTGAGGAGTGGACACTCGGTTGTGCATCTTTCACCATGGTTGAGACGCGCAGCGGTAAGAGCACCACCCCGTACACTAAAGAGCAAGAAGAGAAAGTCGCCGCCATCCTGAGAGAGAAGAAGGAGAAGATGGAGAAGAGGGAGCCTATTAAGCAGGCGACGATGCTGGCCTTGATGGAGGAGCAAAAGGCCAAGCAGAAGCAAATGGAGGAGGAACTTCAAAAGTGAGAAAAGGAAGAGGAGGAGAAATTGGCGGCGATAGAGTCAAAAACAGAAGAAGAAGAAGTAGAGATACCACTGGAAAGGAGACAAGAACGGAAGAGGGAGGGGAATCCTGTGGGGCGCGAGAGGCAAAAGCCAAGATGGAGGCGGAAGCTAAGATGGAGAGAATGGTGAACGAGTGGGTAGCTAACTTGGCCTTGGGGGAGGAGGATGAAGCATTGTTGTTTGTCCCTCAGGCAAAGCGAGAACAATTTGCTAGGGAATTGGAGGGTGAAGAGAATCCCATGAAGCGGCAGGTGATGGAGGAGGAGAAAAAGTTAGAGTGGGAACTCCGCCTTGCGTGCGAGAGGAAGAGATTGGAGGCGGCCGAGAAAATGGAAGAGGATTTGAGGGCCGCCGAAGTAGAACATGGGAAGTTGGCAGCACAAATTGATCTCCAAAGGAAGCTGGAGATCTTATCACAGAGTGTAGAGGTGATGCTGAAGGCGCAGCAAGAACAGTTGCGCTATTTAAAGGACCACGATATCACGCTGCAATCCATGCGCACTGGTTTTTAAGGATTTTGCGAAGGATATGATGATGCATGTAGGCATCGAATTGCACACAATTATGGAGGGCACGCATAAGTTTCGCGTGGGCGCCATTGAAGGCACCAAGATAGTGGGCCCCAAAGAAGAAGCGGCCCGACCACGTAGAGAGCCTGTTAAGGTGAAGTTCCCTGATTCCTACAGCGGGAAGGAGGAGGAGAACTTCGATAATTGGGAGGCAAATGTGAACTCATATGTTCACCTCCAGAAGATAGCTCATGAGGAACATGTCCTCGTTGCCTTTCATGCCCTTAAAGCCGAAGCAGCTAGCTTCGCCAGATCGCTTTGTCGTGCTGCTAAGTGTGAGAACAATATGGTCGCATATTCTCTAATCACCCCCCTGAGTGATTTCTTCAAGCTACTACGTGAGAGGTTTGCAAATGTCACGTGAAGTGTTAGAGCTTCCGACAAACTGCAGACCATCCATTCTCGCCAACGGAGGAGTGCTAGGGCACTCAAAGGTGTCATGGATGAATTGGTCGCCGTCCCTGACCATGGGGTAATTGAAACCCAGTTGGTCAACTTGTTCTATCGTGCCATGCCCGAACCGTTGCGCGGGCACTTCTTTGAGAAGAGTAGGGAGTCTGCCATGACCTACGATACTTGGAGTAGGGAGGTGGTAGCATTTGAAGCGCGGTCCATGCCAATTTCCACTTTTTGGCATAAGGACCTTGATAAGGGCAAGAAGTGGAAAGGCCGCACCATCTCGGGTCAGGTTAAGGGCAAGGATCACCTGATCCTTACGCTAGATGAGGGAGGCATGGAAGAGGGTCCATATGATCAGATAGAGTGGGGCATGGAGGAAGAGGATAGTGGTGTTAGTCAGGGGAGGACTTACGCCACTGTCGCGGCTGGAGGGAAGCGGCAAGGAAGAGGAGGTCGAGGCCAAGGGGGCCAGGCTTTCGGTGGTCGAGGACAGGGCGATCAGGGGGTTGGCGGCAAAGGAAACCGCCAAGCGGGAGGTAGGGGTCAAGGTCCCCCGCAAAACCGCTCTCGTTTTAATTGGTCACCTACCAGGAGGGGTGGATGGCACCCTGGCTGGCCGCAAGGCAAGCCTTGGGAAGATTTGGGTCTAGAACAGTCAGTGTGACAGAGGAGAATAGACCAGGATCAGTGCATTTATTGCGGTGACCCTGGGCACATTATTAGATATTGCCCTAAGTATAGAGAGGCCCGTTATGCTGCACAGGCAGCAAAAAGGCAACTGTCGGTAGGGGTCGCAAGTGCCCTTACCCCTTGACCATGTGGAGAAGAGTGCGCGCACCACATAGAAACTCCCAAACCACGTGTCTATGGTAGAGGTTGTCGCCCAGTGTCTAGACAGCTGTCCAGAGACTGCTTGTGTGAGCGTCTCTCTAGGCACTTGCCTCACAGGCGTGGCAGAAGAGTTAAAGGAGAGGATGCTTGCCTGGGCCAAGATGAAAAAGGATGCGAAAGGACAACTAGTTTTGATAGATGTAGAGGTCTTTAGAGGAAGAGTAGGGGCCTTTATAGATAGTGGGGCCACCCGCAACTATATTAGTAGAAAAGCGGTGCAGAAGCTGAAGCTGAACTTGAAAGTCCAGAAATTAGCAGATCCCATAGTCAGTATCCTCGTCGACAATCGCACGATGCGAGTCGAGGATTAGGTAGAGGGAGTCCAGGCGTATTTCCGCCTAGAGAAGGATGGGAAGGTGGAGAAAGTTCTCCATTCCCTGACTCTCCTCGTAGAAGACAGCCTTCCTTTTGACATGGTCCTAGGAATGGACTGAGGAGAGGCATCAGGGGCCACACTCCACTTGAGAGAGCACGAGTGTAGGCTTCCTAATCCATCAGGCGAAGTAAAGACTGCTCGCCTGCTCCACGTGTCAGGAGTAAACAACTCTCTGGCACATTGTTGTCTCAGTGCTCCCGCGTTCGCGGGTTTAGTAAAGAAGGAGCAATTGGAAGAGCAGGTTTTTGTAGCCTATGTTAGGCATGTCTCTGAGCCTAAGGAAGAGAAGCCCATTGATCTGGCTATTGCCAAGCTGCTGGAAGAGTATACAGACTTAGCTAAGCCGCCTACAAGAGTAGTGCAGCGGCCGATCCAGCATCGCATAGAGATAGAGCCTTGCAGTAGGACTCCTAAGGGAGCCATCTACAGAATGTCCCCAAGGGAGTTAGAGAAGCTGCGTAAGCAGTTGGATGAGCTCCTTGAGAAGGGTTGGATTAGGCCCAGTTCATCTCCATTTGGAGCACCGGTTCTTTATGGAGGGAGAGCTTAGAATGTGCATAGACTATAGGGGTCTTAATGCTGTAACGGTGAAGAATGCAGAACCACTGCCCCGAATAGATAACTTGTTAGATCGGGTGCAAGACTGCAAATATTTCTCCAAGATAGATTTCAAGTCCAACTATCATCAGATAGAGGTCCACCCTGATGATCAGTATAAGACAGCATTCCGGACTAGATATGGGCATTACGAGTTTATAGTGTGCCCTTTGGGACTAACCAATGCGCCAGCCACGTTCAAGCGCTGCATGAATGATTTGTTTAGGCCTCGGTTAGATGGATTCGTAGTGGTGTATCTAGACGATTTCCTAGTTTTTAGTAAGACCCTCTAGGAGCATGAGGGCCATCTCAGGCAGGTCTTGTGGTGTATCTAGACGATGTCCTAGTTTTTAGTAAGACCSTCCAGGAGCATGAGGGCCATCTCAGGCAGGTCTTGGAGAAGCTAARGGAAGCTAACTTCAAGATCAACGCAAAGAAGTGCGAGTGGGCCAAGACGCAAGTACTGTACTTGGGCCACGTTTTAGATGGAGATGGTATAAAACCTGAAGACAATAAGATAACAACGATTAAAGATTGGCCAACGACCCGCACATTAACAGAGTTGAGGTCGTTCCCGGGCTTAGCCAACTACTATAGGAAGTTTGTGAGGAACTTCTCTACCATCGCTGCACCCCTTCGCAGGTTGTTAAAGAAAGAAGTGATTTGGGAATGGGATAAAGACTATACTTCGTCCCTGAAGAAGTTAAAGCGGGCCTTGATAGAGTATCGAGTCCTCAAGGTAGCCGATCCATCATTACCCTTTGTTGTCACCACTGACGAGAGTCAGTATGGTATAGGTGTTGTTCTACAACAAGACGATGGCAATGGGTAGAGACCCGTAGAGTTCGTGTCTGCTAGGATGCCTTCAGAGAAGGTTGTGACATCTACCAACGAGAGAGAACTCTACGCTCTCAGGCAAGCATTAGATCACTGGAAGCACTACTTGCTTGGGAGGCACTTCAAAGTCTATTCAGATCATGAGACGTTGAGGTGGCTGAAGACGCAGGCCAAGATGACACCTAAGCTTACTAGGTGGGCCGCAAAGATAGACCAGTAGGACTTTAAGCTCAAGCTTGTCAAACGAAAGTATAATGTAGTCGCGGACACTTTAAGTAGGAGGGCTGATTACTTTGGGATGATAGTTCACTATCTGGATATAGCGAGAGATGTTAGTTATAGATAAGTTCTTTGATCATTGGGTCAGTGAGCATGGTCTCCCGCTGTCAATAGTTAGTAACATAGATACCAGGTTCAATAGTCAGAACTGGGGGGAGTTTATGAGAGTCTATGGCTCTAGGTTGTTGATGTCATCTGGCCGTCATCCTGAGACCAACGGTCAGATTGAATAGATGAACAAAATCCTGCAGCAAGTTCTCAGAATGTATATTAGACCCGATCAGCTTAACTGTATGAGATGCTTCCCAAGGTAGCCAGCACATACAATAATAGCGTGCATTTACCGCATTTATCGTCAAGTCTCAAAGTCACAAGTCTCTCTCTCGTAGTCTGCAGATCCTCAGAAGTCTGGTAGCGAGAGGGTAGAGAAGGGATGGTGGGCTTAGAAGAGGAAGAAGATGAACTCTCTCTCACTCTCTCTCAATCCGGTACTAACCTGTGAAGTTGGCGCCTTGATGCATGTACCTCGAAGGTGAAGCTGGAGCTATGGCGCCACAGGTAAGTCTATCTGGCCTCCGCCAACCATCTCTCTCCAACAGTACTCTAACGCTACTACTACTAGCGCCCAGCGCTGAAGACTACAGCTAACGCTAACGCTGCTCTCCTGCAGCGCTCCTCCAGAGTGCTGCTGCTGAATGCTGAAGATTACTGCCGCCTCTTGAACTGCACGTGAAGTGCCTAGGAAGTTCCCACGATCTGCCTCTGACTGCCTGCAGCTTGCAGGGCGGGCCAGTCTTATATAGTGCTGGCCCGTCCAGGAGGCTGCTCTTGCCAATGCCAAAACGTGCCCGCCCCTGGGGTTGAAGCTCAAACAAAGGTTGTCTTGAAAATAGGCCAAAAATGGCCTGAGCTAAAACCATGGTCTCGTGCCTGAGTTTCAGGGCAGGTCGATCTGATGAGGGCCCGAAAATGGCCCTCAATTTCAGGCCGAAAAGACTTAGGGCCGGAAAGGCCCTGATTTAGGCTGAAACGACACAGGGCCTGTAGGCCCTTGTTTTCAGGCTTTTAGGCTGAAAACGATGCAGGGCTTGTAGGCCCTCGTTTTCAAGCTTTCAGGCTGAAAACGACACGGGCCTGAAAATGGCCCGTGCAGCTTGTTGCAGGGGCCGCATGTAACACCCCCCCTGCTCACGAAGTCAAGCCGGGTCGAGGGCGAAGCTGACGATCTGAAGATGGAACCTGGTCGCGGGTGCGACGTGGAGCCGAAGATACTGGCTTGCCTTGCATCAGTACGCACAGTGTACCAAATATTCGGTCGGTCTGTTGTCGTAGCTGCTGTAAATGCAGCCTTTCGGCGGCACGACACCGGCCTCAAGAAATATCTCGTGAGAGATCGGCCGATCCGGCACCATCCGGAAGATGTCGGTGGACTCGTCATGCAACCGCACCACACGGGGTTCCGAAGACAAGGCCGTGGGGGAAGAATCGACTTGGCCGTCACCACTTGGCACCGAATCGAAGGGTGCGGAAGAGGAATAGTACACGACACTTCAGCGCCAAAGGCATCCCGAACAGTAGGAGTCCGCCGGTGGAAGTTGACCGTGTGATCCGCACTTGCAAGCCAAGGCTCCCAAAATGATATCGAAGTCCGTGACCAAAATGTCGAACGTCACCGGTTCGCATGCATGAGGTGCGAAATACACCGGTGCGGCCTCGAAGTAACGGTCGATAAGTTGTTGCGTCCTTCTGTCCGCCAACTTGATCGCCATCGGGTTTGCCTTCCTCCAAGGCCAGCCCTTTTCATAAAGGCTTGGCTGATGAAATTGCGAGTCGCTCCGCTATCCAGCAAAGCGCTGCAGGACGCTTGCCCAACTTGGATGCGGACATAGAGGAGTGCTGCGTTGTTGTCATCGTACCGCTGCGTGCGAAGCTCGCGGGCCACCTTGGTAACATACGCAAGGATGTCCCCCACCGCAACTCCGTCATCCGTCGACGAAGTTGGTGGTGCATAGAAGGATAAGTACGTGTGAAGATAAGCGCATAGTGCTGTGCATTGCGGTCCCGGCAAGCGGCCTGTGGTCGGGAGAGGAAGCCTTGCGAAATCCTCAGACGTGAGCGGGTCCAATACCTCTATGTTGAACTCACGCGCCGAATCCCGTGAAGAACCACTTGAAGACGATAAGTCACCGCTGCCGGACGGAGAAGATGCCGTACACACGTCTTGTCCTTGAGCATGAGAACCCAGCGTAGGAACGAGTTGGGCAGCATAGTCCTCGTAAGAATATAGAAGCGGAGGACTATCGACTTCCGCATGTGCCTCGGAACGAAGGGCGGTCACCCGCGAAGCGACCGGTTCCGAAGGCGTCGAGAGTGTCGTCGAGTCACTCCCGGCGGTGCTCAGTTCCCCGATTGGCCGTAGTGGGTCCATGGGGCTGAAGCTGCTGCGCCGGGCCCGGGGATAAATGTGGTGTTTGTCTTCGTCTTGCCGTGTCCTCGGCCTTTGTCGGGGCGGCCACCATCCCGGGCAGCTGCGAGTCTGTCCTCTTCATTGGCAGACATGGCCTCACTAAATTGGTCGGTTGGCGTTGCCGCCGCGACCACGGCCACTTTCGGGGCCGATGCTGATCGCTGCTCGGGCCTGGTAGGCCTCGTCCGTTTCCCCGGACTTCTGATCCATGCCGGCTGTTTGTAAGCGCGTAAGCATAGACCATACAGGTGGCCGCTGACGTGGCACTCTCTGCTTCTGACGTGGCACTATCTGGCTGCTGACGTGGTGTGGCTGACGTAGTCTGCTGACGTGGCCTGCTGACGTGGCCTGCTGACGTGGCCCGCTGACGCGGCAACTCACCAATGCCGCGGCAGGGGGTACCCTGAATCAGATGAAGAAGATAAGACCAGAGGTGGCAACAACGTAGGTGGGGAGGGGTGGGTGGGATAAATCGCCCAGATAAGGAGCCACTAATCAAAAAAGAAAAGTTTGAACTTTGCAAAAAAATTCGAGAAAAAGAAGAAAAAAAAAAATACTCGTTTGCAAGTTCGGTAGGCCTCCCAATTCCCCCTGAAGTGCAAAATTACCAATGAGAAAATTTCGACTTCAGACTGCCAATGATTATAGAACCGTAGAAAAACAGAGAACTGCGAACAAACTTCCGAAAAGAAAGAAAAATAATCGGAATTACTCAGATGTGAGTATGCGCAGTTTGGAAAGTGGTAACTGTCAGAGGGATTTCCCGTATCGTTTTTGAACAAAAAAACGAATTTCGGAAATAACCGAATATTCCGGCTTTCCGAATAGCGGGAGATAAGAAGGCAATCAAAATTTTTGACGAGAAAATATTCCGGATTTTCAACATTGAAATTTCGAATTTTCAGAAGGAAAACTAAAAACGAAAATTTCAGGTGTTGCGCTATAGCGATTTTCCACAACAGAATAGTGGAAAATAAAATCCGAGAAAAAGAAACAAAATATTTCGGATTTCCAACAGCGAAATTTCGACTTTTAGGAAGAAAAAACGAAAACGGAAATTTCAGGTGCTGCGCTATTGCGATTTTCCACAACAGAATAGCGGGAAAACGAAATCCAAAAAAGAGAGAAAAATTTCGATTTTCGGCAGGTAAGTCCAGATGTTGATCAGGTTGTCCTGATTCACATGCATAGCTCCGATACCAACTGTTACATGCCCAGTTGGGCAATGTAGGGGAGCCAAGGATCCACAAAGTGATGAAAAGGGCTGAAATGACAATGCCGTGTTAACAGAATCTCAACCAGCAATGTTCATCCTGATACATGCAAAATAGTATTTTGTGACACAGCGGGAGACTTGGATACGAGTCCTGACCTGACTGGAACTGACATGACATCTCGTGATACTTCACACATATGAGAAGAGGGGGGGAGATACCAAACTGTGCAATACCGTAATGGTACAAACAGAGCAAGGACCGACCTCCCTCTTAGAGTATTAGATAGCGCAGCGGAATGCTAAGATATCAGAGATCAACCCAACCAATGTTCTGACACAGATCCAACGTTAACCATCATCGTTGCAAGGTGGGAAAGGCCTGGTGCCATACACAAAAGAGTGCACCAGGTCCAACCATACACAGACGAAGAGAGGGAGGAGTAGACGAAGAGAAGAGGTGAGATGGGAATGTTGCCAACACCAAGTCTTCGGTACAAGTCCCAAATAATCCCTCGTCGAATGTTTGAACCCCAATGTCGATTCTGGTCCAAATGTCGTCAACTCTCAAAGTCACAAGTCTCTCTCTCTCGTAGTCTGCAGATACTGAGAAGTCAGGTAGCGAGAGGGTAGAGAAGAGATGGTGGGCTTAGAAGAGGAAGAAGAACTCTCTCTCACTCTCTCTCAGTCCGGTACTAACTTGTGAAGTTGGCGCCTCGATGCAGGTACCTCGAAGATGAAGCTGGAGCTATGGCGCCACAGGTAAGTCACTCTGGCCTCCGCCAACCATCTCTCTCCAACACTACACTAACGCTACTACTACTAGCGCCCAGCGCTGAAGACCACATCTAACGCTAACGCTGCTCTCCTGCAGCGCTCCTCCAGAGTGCTGCTGCCGAATGCTGAAGACTACTGCCGCCTCCTGAACTGCACGTGAAGTGCCTAGGAAGTTCCCACGAACTGCCTCTGACTGCCTGCAGCCTACAGGGCGGGCCAGTCTTATATAGTGCTGGCCCGTCCAGGAGGCTTCTCTTGCCAATGCCAAAACGTGCCAGACCCTGGGGTTGAAGCTCAAACAAAGGTTGTCTTGAAAATAGGCCAAAAATGGCCTGAGCTAAAACCCTGGTCTGGTGCCTGAGTTTCAGGGCAGGTCGATCTGACGAGGGCCCGCAAATGGCCCTCAGTTTCAGGCTGAAAAGACTCAGGGCCGGAAAGGCCCTGATTTAGGCTGAAGCGACACGGGGCCTGTAGGCCCTTGTTTTCAGGCTTTTAGGCTGAAAACGACACAGGGCCTGTAGGCCCTCGTTTTCAGGCTTTCAGGCTGAAAACGACACGGGCCTGAAAATGGCCCGTGCAGCCTGTTGCAGGCGCCGCATGTAACATGAAGGAGAGTTAGTGCAGCCATAGCTGCTTCTAGTTAGTGGTAGTTGGCGGCCATAGCTGCCATAGCTAGTGATAGGTGTGTATGCGTGTGTTACAGAGTGTGTGCGTGGAGTATTCAGGGTGATCCAGAGTTGAGTGTGTGCGGACAGTGGTGTTGGACACAGTGATGAGAGTTGGGATGTACAGGCGCTTATGCGCCATAGCCTGTTGAATATCTCTGAGCTTTGAGTGGGCGCCCTAGCGCTAGTTCGCTTTGCCATCTGTTTGCATGTATGCGAAGTGGAAAAGAAAGCGAGTCTGATTGCACAAGTATGATGCAGAACCTAGAACCGACCAATAATGCAGCGGAAGACTTGAAAACATGGATCTGAACTCACATCTGACTCGGACTACACAGGCTCACACACATACATACATCGGGTGAGAAGGCCATAGCTGCCATAGCTAGTGATAGGTATGTATGCGTGTGTGTTACAGAGTGTGTGCGTGGAGTATTCAGGGTGATCCAGAGTTGTGTGTGCGAACAGTGGTGTTGGACACAGTGACGAGAGTTGGGATGTACAGGCGCTTATGCGCCATAGCCTGTTGAATATCTCTGAGCTTTGAGTGGGCACCCTAGCGCTAGTTCGCTTTGCCATATGTTTGCATGTATGCGAAGTGGAAAAGAAAGCGAGTCTGATTGCACAAGTATGATGCAGAACCTAGAACCGACCAATAATGCAGCGGAAGACTTGAAAACATGGATCTGAACTCACATCTGACTCGGACTACACAGGCTCACACACATACATACATCGGGTGAGAAGGCCTGGCGCTCAAACATAGAAGCTGCGCCAGGGCCTATACACAGCACGCACAGACAAATGTAGGGGGGAGAGACGAAGGGAGGAGGAGGAGATGGCGCCAACACAAAGTCACCGAAATAGTAATCCGAAATGTCGGAGATACAGAATCTCGGAATGTTGAAGATACTCTCCAAATAGTCCTCCCAACATCCTGCTCTGAAATAGTCTCAGTCATGATGTCACCGATACCTCACCATCGATCTCTGTCCCATAGTAACCGAGAAGATAGAAGGTTAGGAGGAGGAGAAGAAGAAGAAGAAGAACTGAGAGGGGCAGAGGAGAAGGTGGAGATGGAGAGGTGGGGCGGAGGAAGATCCCCCAACCCGGATCCAGTGCTCAGGCACCAACCTGCAGGTGCAAGGTGTCGCCTTGGAGCCGCTGAAGACTTGCCCTTGCTGCTGGAGCTATGGCGCTCTCAGGTAGGTACCAGGTAAGTCGTGACTCTCTCTCTCTTGCCTGCAGCTAGCGCTAACCCAGCGCTCTGCCTGGAGCTGCGCTAATCTCAACATAGTGCAGCGTTGCTCCTTGATGCCGCGACCTCTAGTCTGTCCCAAACAGGCCGCTGGCCGGTACTAAGTACCGGCGGTGGCCTGTTCGGCCTGGCTGCTGAGAACCCGCGCCGTGATCTGGACCGTCGATTGCTTCAGGCGGTTCAGATCGGACCCGCGGGAAGGTGGCAGCCTCAATATTCAGCCGCCAGGCTCAAACGGAAACGTTTAGGGCCTGCTGCTGCAGACCCGGGTCTGAACTGGTTTGCTGGGGCCTACCGTCGGCCTTTTCGAAGGTTCGGCCTTTAACCCAGGCCGGACTGGTCCAACATGGCCACGGTCTGGGATAACCCCCTAGACCTAGCCGTTGGGCCTTAGAGGGCCTGTGTGGAATCCAGTATGTAACACACTCCCCCCCTTAAAAGATCGAGCTACCTGCGAGGGTGAAGTTGTCTGTCTGAAACCTGGGTGGGTCGGGAGGGACGAACTTTGTCCTTGGCGAGTCGCCATCGTTCGTACTCAGAGAAGATGAGTGGTGCAGATGCCTGTAAGTCTGCTCGGGAGATCCAGCGAGTGTCATTGGGATCACATTGCTTGAATGTGACTTGGTACTGCATTGGTTTGTTGCCATATTTGTGGTGCGTGATGACACGGTCAACTTCCTGATGTCCGTCCATGGAGGGCGGATATTGTGATCGTCTGCCTGGAAACTCGTCAGTCGAAGGTGGTGTGTAGATTGCCAACTTCAATGCATGAAAGACCGGCTGCACGGTGAGGTGCGGCAGGATGTTGATGGCAAAGGAAGGGCCTGCAGGGTCGTCGCCGGCTGCAGAAATTACCTTTCATGGTCCAAATCATTTGGGGAGGAGTTTGCGAGAGACGTCCTGCTCAACCGCGAATTCCTCGGCGAGGACCCAGACAAGGTCATCCTCACGGAAAGGACATGGGAGACGACGTCGGTTAGCTTGCTGTTGCATGCCGACCTGAGCCTTTTGCATGTTTGCTCGGGCTTTGATGAGCAAGTCCCTGTACTTCCGAATGGAAGCGGGAGAGCAAGCGACGTCGATGTCGGCGGCCCGGGGAAGAAAAAGATCGGCGAAGATACGTCCTTTCTGTCCACCGTGATGCAACTCGTAGGGAGTCACACAGAGCGTCGGGTGCACCGAACTGTTGTAGGCGAACTCGATATCCGGAAGGCGGTCAACCCAATGTTTCTGGTCCGGACGGATGAGAGTACGGAGCACCATCTGGGCGGTTTGATGTGCCCGCTCCGTCTGTCCATCCGTCTGTGGGTGCCGAGCGGAACTCGACTTCATTGTCGTGCCGGACTCAACCATGAGGGATGTCCAAAATGTCGACATGAAGCGAGTATCGCGGTCACTCACAATGTCTTCCGGAACACCATGGCTGCAAATCCCACTGGTGTGCAAGAGTCGTGCGAGCTCGGGCGCTGCAGCATGATACTTGCAAGGAAGAAATCTGGCGTACTTGCTCAAACGGTTAACGACCGTGAGAATGCCATCATGACCAAGGCGATATCAGGGAAACGGGCCGGTAACATCCATAGCAATGGATAGGCACGATTCTTGCGGAATCGGCATTGGTTTGAGTTCGCCATAAGGAAGCTGATGCCGTCCTTTGTTGCGCTGGCAAACTGCAGATGACTGCACATATTTGTTGACGTCGTGAAGGACATCTTCCCAGTAAAAACGCTGACGAAGACGTGCCAAAGTACGGGTGATGCCAAGGTGTGCCGAGAGTCGCGAGTCGTGGAATTCGCCAAGAAGGCGAGTACGCAAGATGCGATCGCGCGGCACGCATAAAAGTCCTTCCCTCGNGCCAAGGTGTGCCGAGAGTCGCGAGTCGTGGAATTCGCCAAGAAGGCGAGTACGCAAGATGCGATCGCGCGGCACGCATAAAAGTCCTTCCCTCGCGTGTGGAGAAGCAAATACCCGTGGGAGATGAGATAATGCCCTGTCGGCGGGTGATTTGATGAAAGATCTGCATAAAGTGTTGAGTAATTCGGGTCGGACTTGTAACCATTGACGAAGTGCTGCTGCAAATCGTCGTCGAGCCGAAATGTATCGGGCACTAGGGCAAACAAATCGTGTCGCCATGATAGTGCATCCGCTGCTCGATTGGCGGGGCCTGGAATATGGACGGGGTCGAAGTCGAATTGGTCGATGAAGTACATCCATCGGCCAATCGTGCTTGTGATCGTGTCCTGCGTTTTATAGTAGGTCTACGGATTGCTATCCGTATTCCATGTGAAACGCCGACGCCCGAGAAGAAAATGTTGCCATCGTTTGAGCAAAGTGACGAAAGCCATCAACTCTTTCTTCCTAGCGTCATCCAGAGAATGAACTAGAGGCACTTTTTGGGGGAAGTACTCAACCGGATGCCAATCATCACCGTCATGTTGTTCCAATATTGCACCAATGTCGTATTCGGAAGCATCCGTAGTCACTCGGGTGCGTAAGGTGGGATCATAAATGCGGAGGGTGGGAGCGAGTAGCATCGCGTCCTTCAACGCATGAAATGCAGTCCGGGCTGCGTCGTCGAACTCGAATGGCAACTGTGGAAACTAAAGCCTCGACAATGGTGCAGCAACTTTGGAGTAAGAGTCGACAAAACACTGGTAATATCCAGGCAGACCCATGAACGAGCGTACGTCCGTAGTGGTACGGGTTTCCGGCCAGTCCACGATGACTTGCATCTTGTCCGCTAAGGGACGAATGCCTTGCGGCGTAACATAATGGCCCGAGTACTCAAGCTCTTGCTGTGCGAATTCGCACTTGTCGCGATTTGCTTTATGCTTGGCCGTGCAAAGCCGCGCGAAGGTGCTCGAGATGCTCGTCGAACGTCCGACTATAAACCAAGATGTCATCGAGGTAAATGAGTACGGTGCGGTCGAGTAGGTCTCAAAACTCGGTCGTCATAGCTGCTTGGAAGGTCGCCGGCACATTGGTGAGGCCGAATCGCATTACGACCCACTCAAAATGCCCATACCGCATTTTGAAGGCGGTCTTGTACCGATCTTGGGGCTGGATTTCAATCTGGTGGTACCCAGACTTCAAGTCCAACTCTGAGAAGTACGTGGCACCGCCCAATCTCTCAAGGAGATTATCAATCCGAGGGAGAGGGTCCGTGTTCTTCACGGTTTGTGCGTTGAGTTTTCGATAATCTATGCACAACCGGAGATCCTTGTTCTTCTTCCGGACGAAGAGAACCGGGGCACCCTAGGGCGAACAACTCGGGCAAATCCAACCCTTGTCTAAGAGGTCATCAAGTTGTGCGTGAAGCACCACGAGTTCCTCTTTGCTCCTTTGGTAAATGCATCCGCGCGGAGGGACTGCACCGTCCTCGAGAGTAATCCCGTGACGTATGGGCCGATCCGGGATCGTTCCGGCGGGAGCTGCAAAGACGTCTCCATGATCGTCCAAGAGCTGAAGAATACTTGGGTCCGACGGCGATGTCTTCGGTCTGTCCGTCGGAGGGATCGCATGCAAGAAGCATATTCCCATCTCATCAACGTCGTTCCGAGAAATAACATCGCGAATCCTCGCTGCGAAGACCACGTGGCAACCAATCGAAGTGTGAGGGGGTGGGGCCGTACGCAGGACTAACTCACCGTTCCGATCATGGATGTGAACGGTGCGGTTGTGGAAGTTCATCGGGTGGTCGGCGCTATGCAACCAAGACATGCCTAGAATCATGTCGAACTTGGTGTCGAGGATGTCAAAAGACACCGGCTCGCACGCAAGTGGCGCAAAGTAAAGCGGGACGCCGTCAACGCGTCGGTCAATTGACTTTTGCGTGTGTCCGTCCGCGAGTGATACATGCGTCGGCTGCGTTCTCCTTCGAACGCGGGGGCCGAGGCCAGCGCAGGCCATAAAGGCCTGGCTCATATAGTTGCGAGACGATCCGCAATCAATCAAGGCACTGCAGGTTGGCTTTCCGATCTGAATGCGGATATAGAGGAGGGGTGCGTCGGTTTCGGCGTACCTTTCAGAGGCGTGCTCGCGGTCGATCTTCGCAAGATAGGTGCGAATGGCGACAACCGCTACGCAGTCGTCCGTCAACGGAGTTGGTATGCAGCGTGCAAGTAAGCGCGTAGGTTGGCCATTACGGCGTTGCAATGCAGCTTGGGCAAGGACCCGGTCGAGGGAAGAGGCAACCATTGGAAGTCCTCTCTCGTTAGCGGATCGAGATTCTCAAGTCTCGACCATGGCGACGAGTCCTCGGAATGTGTAGGTGAAAAGACCGGCTCTCTTGTTGACGGTGCGCAAGCTGCGCATACACTATCTTAATGCACGTGACTAGGCTGGTTGAATGGCGGGACCAGCTGGACTTCATAAGCCTCGTAAGAAATACGAGAATCATGGACTACCGCATGTTCCTCAAAAATGAAGTCGATTGCTAGCAAGGCAACCGTTTCCGGCGGAGTGGGGAGAGTCGTCGTTGCAATCCTTGCGGTGCTCTGTTTCCCGAGCTGTTTGGACGAGGACCACTATGTTTGCCCTTGTCCGTGCATTGGGTGGTCGCGTGCTTGACGTTGTTGCACCAAAGACAGTAGTTGTACTTCAGGAGGAGGTGATAAACCTCCTCGCTTATGTGATACTGCGTCCACGGTTGTTGTCCAACTCCTTCCGACGCCTGGGTATTCGCCTTCTTCTTCCGAGCTTGTGTGCGTCAAGGAGGGATCGCTGTTACAACATCTCCTTCACCAGAGGCTGATGCAGCGGCGTGGTCGTCTTGTTATCCGGTAAGGATCACATTTACATTGTGCCGCTGAAATCCTGGCTTTGCCACATAGGCCGGCTGTTGCTGACGACTTTCATTAGCCGCTCGCGACCATTTGTATGAGAATGTTCACTCTTGATATGATTGCGTCGAAGGTCTCGTACCGTAGCTCGTTGCCGAGACCTGTG